GGGGGGTGCGTGAGTAATCTCAGAGTAGCCGTGTAGAAAGCTGATATCAAACAGCCCCTGAGCCCCTCAGTCACTGTCTCTGTTTCATTAAGATTTGTGGAGTAAATGTCATATGAATCCCTGGAGTCATCTAGTTATGGATCGTTCCCGTACACACACACACACACACCACACACACACACACACACACACACACACACACATGTACAACACACACACACACACACACACACACACACACACACACACACACACACACACACACACACACACACACACACACACACACACACACACACACACACACACCAAATTCTTGCACAATAGCAACCATGTGCATCTACATTCCCCCATAGATACCTATCTAAAACAGCTTTGAGGAATGAAACCAATCACAGATTTCCGAGTAATTTCTGTCATTTTTTCCAGTTTCACAGTTTTAACTGACCTGTCTTCACTCATAGGTGCCGGTGCTGCAGCCCATGGACTTGATGGTGGAAGCTACGGCCAGGCGAGTATTCAGCAACGCTCACATGTACCACATCAACTCCATCTCTGTCAACTCAGACTATCAGACATACATCTCCACCGACGACCTCAGGGTGAACCTGTGGAACCTGGAGATCACCGACCGCAGCTTCAGTATCCTCTTCTTCACGTCTTCTTAGGAACTCAAATGTGGGAGAACAAAAGTATAGCATTTGTCAGAGTTTAGCCTTCACAGTCTTTTCTGAATGCTAGAGGAAGCTGTCTGAATGTTTGAGTTGTTCCTTAATGCCTGTCTCTCAGACATTGTTGACATAAAGCCAGCCAACATGGAGGAGCTGACGGAGGTGATCACCTCTGCAGAGTTTCATCCCCAGCAGTGTCACACCTTCGCCTACAGCAGCAGCAAGGGCTCGATACGCCTCTGTGACATGAGAGAGGCCGCGCTCTGTGACAAACATTGCAAATGTGAGTACAAGCAGGGTAACGACAAAGAGCCAACACATCTCTTTATAGATTTTCTTTCATGTGAAAATATTCCAGTTTTTATGCCGAGCATCATGCATTGTTTATGCTCCATGGTGCCTCATTAGCCACCACAAAAAGGCCGTAAAACGAAAGGCATTGGGTGATTCTTTTATTTGTTCTTTATCATTTATTTATTCCTTAACTGTTATGTATTATTTAAATGTTACACCTCTACTGTTGCTTCAAAGCCTTCTCTCTAGAAGGCTTCTGCATGAAATTCCCCTTGCTTGAATAACTGGTCGCATTGTATTGCATTAAACTGAATCAATGACTCCCTTTAATGACTATAACTGATTTTCCCCCTTTAAACAGTCAAATGTCATTATTCAGTCTAAAAACATTAGAAACCCAGTTTGTGTAATTTGAGGTTTATTGTAGCATGTCATTTTCCTTTTCTTGGATATCAAAATCTTTAAATTCATATAAATGACACAATAAATGGACCTCAATATCATGGTGTTGTATTATTATTAATATGTTATAGCTTCAAGCAGAATGGAAGGTCAGAAAAAGAACGTGTGTTGATATATGTTTTTAAATACATAATCAAAACACAAAAGACAGAGGTGGGAAACCACGAGACAATTTTCACAAATTCACATTGAATGTATTCGCTTCAGCTCTGCCTTTGTGTGGTGTTCCCTCTGCTTTATATGAAGGGGTTGATAACCCATCAATAATTCTCATTGTGTGTTTCAAACAATGAACGGCCTTCTCTAAAGCCTAACATCTCATGCATTCGCGTGGGCCAAATGAATAATGAATACATTGACATTTTCGATGCAAAATCAATAGTTTAAGAGCAATCGCATTAGTCCCTCATGGACACACCTTGTTGTTCGATAATGCCAGTCATTTCCTCAGACATATTGATGTGTTCATTCATGCGCTAACATGGCCTGTAGAATTCAACATGATCATTTATTTTGGGGCGGAATAGGTATAATATAGGCCCAAAAGGTTTGCATTTAAGTGTACATTTTAAGTTGTGGCATTTAGTGCTGTTTCATATTGAAATAGACGTGCGATCACTTGACAGATGCATTGCTCATACACACACACACACACACACACACACACACACACACACACACACACACACACACACACACACACACACACACACACACACACAGGTGCTCTCTTTAGCCTTGGGACAGGTCATACTGTCTCACTGCATGAACAGTGTATGGCTCAGAGCGATATTTCCCTCCCACGCATGCACACACACACACACACACACACACACATTCCGCCCCTTGACACACACTCACATACACAATACTTCCTTAACCTTGTACATAAAAAACACAATCATACTGTATCCCCTCCCATACCTGCTGCTGGTGTCTGTCAGATTGAAGATGGTTAGATGCATAGGGGAGGATTGCCAAAGCGCAGAGCCCCAGGACACAGAGAGGGAGACCCAGCAGCCCCCATGCCCACTCCCCAGGGACCCTATTATACACCCCTGCAGTGGGAAAGGGAGGAAGGGCAGGGACGCACATATACATGCATATATACATGCACATATTGCACACACCCTAAGCTCCTTCACTGACACACACACAAATCCAGTGGGGCCAAAATGGGCCCAGCACTTTGACATTGATTTGTTTTCCTTATCCCTTCCTCATCCCCCCATTTTTCATCTCTCGCATCCCTTGTTAGACTCCCCATTGACACATCACAGAGCTATTCTCCTGGCCTCAGCTGAGGAGGAGGAAAGGGGGCATTTTTTGGATTGATGGAGAGTAGAGAGGGGAGGAAGGGTGGGAGGAAAAGAGGAGGAGGAACAATAACTTGACAGCTAACGATGGAATGCCTGGCTCTTATCCCCAGCGTGTTGGCCTGCACACAGATCAGCAGCTGCCAGAATCAATGTGAATCATAACCAATATTTACCCAGCATGCTGACCCACCACTCTCTCCCTAAACACACACAGAAATAATGCCATGAAGAGATGCAGCTGCTGCGGCAAACCCCGCACCAAAGCATTGTTGTGCCTGTTATGGTTTGCTAATGACGGCCCCCACCACCCAAACTAAATCTGCCTCGTTTTTTTCTCAATGCGAATGATTAAAAGACCTGCCGGGGGAAGAACATCCTTTTTAGGCAGCGACCTCCCATGGTGTAAAATGTGTTTTCTCTGTCAGAAGATAACTGCTTTTTGTTTTTCTCTCCTAGACTTTGAGGAGCCTGAGGATCCCTCCACTCGCTCCTTTTTCTCTGAAATCATCTCGTCCATTTCTGACGTGAAGTTCAGCCATAACGGCCGCTACCTGATGACAAGGGACTACCTCACTGTCAAAGTGTGGGACCTTCAAATGGAGAACAAACCACTGGAGACTTACCAGGTAAGCTTTCATCTTGCTTTTATGAGCCTGCTAGTTCGAAAGCGGCGAGAAAAATCCTAAATAATGTCAAGATCAAATCAAAACGTATTGATTTTCAGACTAATCGCTCAACATAATCCTGTTTCACTGTCCCCCTGCCAATCTGTAACTGTCATCTTCAGCGATTACCCCAGGCGGGCTTATTGAGCTGACTGTCGGTCAAAAGACAGATAGTGCCGCTGCTGATGCAACCTGAAGGGCATAACCTCCCACTGTGTGGTCACTGGGGTCAGATCCACACTCTGTGATCATGGGAAGCCATCTTAGGGCAGGTCATGATTGATAACGCCATCAGCCAGGCTCAAGGGATTCCCCATTCAATTCCAGCAGCGCCTCCACCTGCTAGCTAGGGTCTTAGCAAGGGTCACCAGGTCTGAAAGGGATTATTGAAAGTAGAGCATATGGTAGAGCAGTTTATGGCGATGTGAGGAACTTAGGTCATTGGTGGATCTAAGATCTTCAGATGTTCATGTTTTTATTTTTATTTTTCAGGTTCACGACTACTTACGTGGCAAACTTTGCTCTCTGTATGAGAATGACTGCATCTTCGACAAGTTTGAGTGCGTCTGGAATGGATCAGACAGGTACGATTCACTTCTTATCCATCCATCGATCCATCCATTAGTTTATCTCAATAATAAATGCAATCTCTCTTCTCCTCTTCAGTGTCATTATGACCGGCTCCTACAACAACTTCTTCCGAATGTTCGACCGCAACACTAAACGTGACGTCACACTGGAGGCGTCCAGGGAGAACAGCAAACCCAGAGCCATTCTCAAGCCTCGCAAGGTAAAGCACAAATCATGAATACAGGTTAACTGATATCCAGAGGTAGCTGGATTCTTTTTTTTTTTTAAAGTAGAAGACAGTGGAGAAAGATTCATGACGATTACCATATGTGTTGTATATACGTAGTTTCTGCTAGCAACTAACAGCATACAGACAAAGTTAGCAACTATAGCTAAATAACTTGGTGTAGAACTTAGCATCTAAAGACAAAACATTTAGCATCAGGGGCTAGAGACTATGACAGAGCTAAAAGTAGAGTTAACATGGGGGTTCATTTTGGGTTGGACACATGACTCGAAATGAATGGTTATTTTGCTACATGTCTCCAGAGTGTGTAAATAAACTGCTAATGAAATATCTATATCTACTCTATAAGGTGATATTAACAATGCAGCTTTAACATCACTGAAATATGTTAATGTGTGCACAATCAAATATTAACGCCTCTTCATCTCTACTGTTGTCCTCCAGGTGTGTGTGAGTGGGAAGCGGCGTAAGGATGAGATCAGTGTGGACAGCCTTGACTTCAGCAAGAAGATCCTCCACACTACGTGGCACCCCCATGAGAACATCATTGCTGTAGCGGCCACCAACAACCTGTACATCTTCCAAGACAAGGTCAACTAAAGGGGCGATCTGCCTCTGCTGACCCCTCACCCCTTCACATGAGGGGGCTGCAGGGAGAGCTAGGGTTGGAGGAAGAGAAAGATGGAGCCCTAATCTGCATCCTTCCCCTCTTCTCCCTATGACTTGTTGCTGCCAGTCTTGAATTTTGCTGAAGATGTGCAGAGATCAGTATCCAGAGACTGAAATATGGACGCTGTTTTATTTTGGGAATTTGATACAATCTGGATACAGCGTTATAAAAAAAAAAAAGATTTGTCGAATTTGAGAATGGACTTTCATTCTTCAAATTGACTTCTTATTTAATTTATTTAGCCATGCGGACACCTGGAGAAGTGAATCCCGTGCAACAAGAGGATTGCTGCATGAACCACGTGATGTAGCAGCCCTCCGGAAGGGACCCTGGAGGAAGGGGTTACACTGAACTTTAAGAAGAGCACACAGACAGAAACCTAGCTTACATGATGGTGGCTCATTGTCATGTAGCAACAGTGCCCCCTCTCTTTCATTCTGCTCATGCTGCAGTGCATGTGAACAACCCTGCGGCCTCTAACTGGGGCGGACAGTGCAACCTGCAGCACAACTCTTACTAAAGAGAGCGAGGTTGTAAATCTCTGATCCCAGATACCGAGAGTTCTCTCTGCTTTGGACACAACATGGTCAGTCCTTTTAGTACCAATTCTGTGTCTCCCTGGTGAGACTGCTGTCGTCTGTAATGTGAATGAAGCCCTTCCAGGGTGTGTCAATGGTTTTATTTAATGCTGTTGTTTTATTGAGTCCTTCGCTCGGTCAATGAGTCTGTTTAGAAGCTGTGGTGCCTTCTTTTGGTATGGGGGGGGTTGGAGGTAGTGGGCGGGAGGGTGGTGGGGTTGAGTAACAAGGCAGGAGTGTGAATGTTTCAAATGAAATGTTAATTTAGGATTTTTATTTCTGTCTTTCTCCATCAAGAACAAAACAAAATAGCTCTTCGGAGTTTTCCAAATGGAAAAAAGAGCTGGAAGCGATGCATTCATGATGACATCATAGCACCGGCTACATGCTTGTTCTTCAGGGGGGGACGCTGAGATATGTACAAAGTTATTGTTGCTCCTATCACATTGCAGTCAGTCTGATGTCAGCCGTTTGCAAAAGAAAAGACACAACAAATAATTGTTTTGCAAATGCCCTCGCAAAAAACACCTCGCCCCGTTTTTAACCTATTTGGATTGTACTGAAAATGATCTGTAGATTGTAGAACTGTCCATTTTTTACGATGATTTATTAAAGTTCATTGGGTAACATAATGCTAGCGTAGCTCTTTTTGCATGCGTTGGATCTTAATCTGATGAACCCGACAGCCTGCACATAGATACTTTGAACATCTACAGATCATCTGAAGCACAATGCAAGTAAAATATTTGCCTGTCCTCGTTCCTCCTCTTGTTAAAGATTGGTAACGTGGAACAGTAGCAGGTTTGTTTTTCAGCACTAAGCTCTGATCAGTCGGGAGATCTTCATTTGTCTAAGATTAGTTTTTAAGAGCCAACTCCCATAAAGAAAAGCAGTCAAAGGTCTAAATGAACTCTGTGAAATCAGGGAATTATTAAGTGTGATTCCTTTAAACAGTAATGTCTTCTAAACAACCTCCTTTGTGACACTTCTAATTGAAAAAAAAACTTTTATAGCTCAGAATGTAATGAAATGCAATTAATTACCATGCAGTCTTTATGCTTAATGGACTTTCTTTGAATAAAAAAAGAATGAAGATGTGCAAGATGAAAGCCCTGGACCTCCTCTGTTTATAACGCTGAATGTACTTCAAATGATTCATTGCTGCTTGTGGTGCAAGAGGGCCCTCGTGTGGATGGAGTTAGACATATAAAAGCAGTCTGGATGAAACAGGATTTTCCTCCACTGGACCCAGTCGGTGGTTGATTTCAAATCAAGAGCCAAATTGACCATTTTCTTAAATGTTTAGATTATTCATATTATGTAATTTACCATTATAGGAGCAGAAATCCAACATATAACATACACAATTGACTGAATCCATCTAGATTGCTGGTGGATGCTTCAGATGTTATAGACCATGAACACATTTTCAAAGGCCATTGGGCTATATCAAAAACATCAGTAGTCAAGCATTAGTATAAGAAAACTGTAAATTTGCTATCCCATACATTCCCGTGTCCTACTGTGCACATTATGCAGAGTTTTTCTAATTGGCCCCGTGAGGCAGTAGTCGACGCACATTTCGTCAGCTGGGGACAGCAGCTGTCAATCAAACTGCATCTTTATAACCAGCGGCAGAAGCTGCATCATTGCGTCTCAGGATAAACCCTGGGACAGACAGGAGCTCCACTGTGATTATTGATCGGCAATCGATAGTTCTGTCTGATGCAGTTATTCAATCAGGTTTGGATTTAAAGTGGTAGCATTGCTTAACATATTAAATCATTCTTTTTAGCATTTTCTCCTTCTTCTCCTGGCAGGCTTTAACTTTTCCTAGTGTTTCTTCTTATATCATCTCCCCATCTTTTTGGGAAAGATGGATAAGTTGAGTGGGAACAATGCAACACTTGTGAACAGCTCTATAGACAAGTGGTCCTTCAATGAGCGAGGCTTGTACCCACACCTGGACCCCGGGGAGCTGAGGGTCCTGATGCCGGCCATTCTAGGAGTCCTCTGTTGCTTGGGTGCGGCTTGTAACCTCACTGCAATGGTCATCTTGTTCTCCAGCGCTCACAGGGGCAAACTATCTCTCATCAACTCCCTGGTCTTCAACTTGATGTTTGCCGACGGGCTGGTGCTGCTGTTCGCTGTGCCTTTCAGGGCTGCGGTCTACTCCAAAGCCTCCTGGACTCTGGGCTGGGTTGTCTGCAAGACGGCCGACTGGTTCCTCCAGTCCTGCATGGCAGCCAAGAGCTTCACAGTTGCCATCATGGCCAAAGCTTGCTACCGCTACGTTTCCAACCCCAACAAGCAGGTGAGCATCCACCTTGGCTCCATCCTGGTGGTGTTCTTCTTCATCTGGCTGTCCGCTTGCTCCGTCACCATCCCTCACTGGCTGTTTGCCACGCTCCAGAGAGAATCTCGTGGACTGGTGTGTGTGATGGTGGTTCCTCCTGAAGCCCGGGACTTCATGGCTGTGTACGTCAAAGCTTACCCCCTGGGAGTGTACTGTGCACCCCTCAGCTTTTCCCTGATTTATTTCTGGAGGGCTTACAGCCAGTGCCAGCGGCGCTCCAGTAAGTCTCAGAACCTGCGCACACAGATAAGGTCCAGGAAGCTTACCTTGATGCTGTTCAGCCTGACCGTGGCCATGGCTATTCTCTGGCTTCCACAGTGGGTGGAGTGGGTTTGGGAGCGTCATATAGCAGAAAAGGACATTGCAGGAGCCAAGCCTCTCGTCTCCTCTCTTCCCCCTCTTCTGACCCTTTCTGCTCAGCTGCTCACCTTCTCCCTGTCCCTGGTGAACCCTCTAATCATCCTCTCCCTCTCCGAGGAGTTCAGAGAGGGCTACAGGGGGCTCTGGAGGCGCCTCACCATGCGCAAACATCGTCCTACCAAGAAAAAACCCGGACCTCACAACCCTACTTGTCTCCAGTCTCCTCGCCCCAGACCGGAGACTTCGTTCCAGCTGCGGGGGGAGAAGAACAATCGATCAACCTCCAGCCAGGGTCCCTGCAGAGAGGCTGAGCCCCAGCAAGAGCAAGGAGGAGAGAGAGAAGTAGACACAGAGAGTCTCAAAGATGGGATCGTCTTGCCTGATCTGGAGCAGTTTTGGCACATGAGGGAGACTGGATCTAATGCGGAGGAAAATGATCCAGTGCCGTGGGAGAACCAAAACAAAGAGGGGGAAACATAACACCAATATGATCCTCAGACAGCAGCTTCTTCATCTACAGATCTCAGTTTATGTACTGCTGCTCACTGCACTATCAATTCATTGTATTCTGTCAACAGTGTTAATGTAATTATTCAAAGGTAAGACGTGCAATACAAGAGTGGAGTACAAGTGGAGCAGTGTCTTCAGTATATATGATAAATATTACACAATTATTGTCTTTCTTCTGTGTTTGGAATTTTAAAAAAGTATATAATATATAATGGAAGAATAATTAGGGTGAAATTACTTTGGTGGCTGTAAATAACGCTTGTGTTAATGATGATAATGTGAATTCAATACACAGTATATTTATATATATATTTCATTATACTCTTTGGTATATTAAACATTGTAAATTACAGGTTTCTTGAATCAACTGAACAACCCACTGTGGGAGTAGTAAAATGTTTAACGACTGGTATGCTGCAAAAAATCTAGCATATTGGAAGTACATGTTAACATCCGTAAATGTATGTTGCCCTCATGTGCAATCATTGTATGAGTACACTCTTTGGATAAGCAGATTTTTGTAAGTGAAAGTGGAGAAAGTGTTAGTTTTCTGTACTCTTTTTGTGAGAGAGAGCTTTATGTCGCTAATCATTGTGCATCAAAATGAATAGTGTTTACAATAAAGACAATTCTAAAAAGGTTGCCTCTGTGTGACAACATTGTCCTGGGGTGAAGATATTAGAGAAAAATTAGAAGCACAACAGTTCATTTTTTAGTTGAAGTTCAATCAGGAATGCTCCTGTTATTGGTTCAATCAATGACATACAGACGCACACTTGTACATCCAGGACTTAATGAGATGTCTCAGACATCGGCGGATGGTCTCCCGCTGACACCAGGTCATTAAATATTATTTTATAAGGGCATCCATTAGAATTGCCATGGGTTCTCATTAGAGGTAAAGAGCTTTCGTCTGAACTCTGAAGTTCTGTCAGTGGACCCGCCTCTGTGGGAAGCTCATAACAAATTTCAATGTATTGACCTAAATGTCTCACAATTAAAGGGATAATCATCAAGAGGAAACTGTGCCCAAGCTGATCTGCAATCGATTCGTCTGTCTGGTTTAAAAGCAACCCAGCTGTGCTGAACATTGAGTGTAAATAATGAAGATTTTCACACCAAAAAGGACCTACATTAAAAATGTACATCAAAGGTATAAGGTTTGCATAAATGTAAAGTTCAAGAAAAAAAGAAGACATTTTTAGGATAAAGGAGTCTTTCCACATTATCTTACACCACTTTTTGCTCACCCCTCTCCCTTATGACATTTCCCTCTCATTAATCATTGATGTTGACCTTTTATTGCTACAGGCAAGTACCTCCAGCAGAGCAACACTTAACTATATAACCCAGCATCAGTCTCCGGGGTGGTGACCCGGCCATAAACACTGAAGGCAAAAAGCTATGCACTCATTGTTAGAAAGCAATGTAACCTTCACTGTATGAAGAGAGGAATGATTAAAGGTTATTTAACAACAAAAACACATAAACAGTAACTGTGAACATTAATGATGCCATCTTTAAAAGTACACTTTGTGTCCACTATTTCCAGCCTGTACAGTTTGCCAAGTAAATGAGGCAGTAAATCACTATTTGCAATTACTATTTGTTAATTAGAAAGGCCTGAAGCTGTGACTCACTGTTAAACAACTGGTGCAATCTAGGCTATCACATATTTAATACATATTTGATAAGATAAATAAAGAAGTTGAAACACGGAATGAAGTAGTTTTAAATAAAAAAGCAGTGTCAGCCTCAGCCACATGAAGGCAATCCCTTGGAGTTACGGAGAAAATCAAATATCCAAATACTTCAAATAAATTGCATCGCATATTTGTTTTCAAAATGGTTGGGACACTTTTCTGAGATAAAAATAAAACTGTATTGCACGTAACCCTTTTTTTTGTACACACTAATTGCCATACTATTTTTCAAAAACACCTGCATAGACAGGATTTACAGAGGGATCCTTCCTGGTAGTCTCTGACAAGAAAATAAAGCAAAAAGACCACATTGACTTCAGGCGAACAGGCCAAACAACATTGCAGCAAGCATGTTTTTAGGTCATTTTAGGATTTGATACATTGACCAACCTTCTTACAGTTCATAATGTTGAATGTTTGGAGAGGTTTTTTTTGCTCCTTTTTACTTTAAACAGCAAAGCCAAAAAAAGACATGTGACTAACAAATGAAAAGAGTGATAATGAAGGATAACAAATCTAGAGCAGAAAGAAGGGACTGATTGAGAGACAATTGGTGAAACAATTAGTGAGGTAAGTGGAAAAACAAGTTAGGTTTAATTAGGTCATTATCCAAGGCAGGGGAGCTTTCAGCAGGTGAGATCCTCTCCTCACTGACCTCCTCCCACTGTGAGGGGAGGCGGGGGTGTCACCCCTGTTTTATCTCACGCCAATAATAATTTCTAATAAATGAAACTCCACAGGAAGTGACATGCCAGCTAACACTAATTATGCTCTACAGGGAACGCTGCAATTAGGCCACATGTTAAAACCTTTGACTGCTAAGTCACAGCTACCTTCGCCTCCCTCTGGTCTTGTGGAAGATCACCTGGCACCGCAGTCCAAAGAGAGTCACCTCAAAAGTGTGTGTTTATGTGGTGTGGTAGTGGTGGGGGGGTCTGGCATTGGTATTTAGCAGTCTTTTGATTAGAATAAATCAGAGAGCTTTAATCTCAGTGAAGGATGTGGAGATCTGAAGGGCAGGCACCTTTCAGCACTTCCAGCAGTGCTAAGAGGGTATGTCATTCAAACCTATACACTATAGATTTATATTGATCTGTTCATAAGCAGAGGGAGATGCTTTGACATCAAAGGCATTTAATAAAACACAACCAAATAAACAAGTCCCCCCCCCTCAAAACAATGAACTAATGTGGATGTACCGTTTTAAATTGGCAGTAGGCCTACTTGGTATAGCAAATAAAGTTCTTGCTTCTAGTGATGAATCCTCAAAAAAAATTACCTTACAACTCTGTAGTTGCCCATAGCTGAATAGTGCATTTTTGCATCTTTTAGCTAATTCTTGGGGATTTAAGTCCCACAATTGTTACATTTTGGATAAGTGTTACTCTAACAGGTTCGGTGAAAAACTCTGACAATCCCACTGTAACTACTGAGCCTGTCTTCAATGTCACAACAGACAGGACAAAGTAAGAAGCTAGCATGTCAATTGGTCAGCATTTAGCCGATAATGAGCCAGATATGTCCCTCAGGACTTGAACAGAATTAAAAGTAGAGTAGCTATTGGACTTACATTCTTCAGGCTGTTAAAACAAGACTTCAAATTAATGTTTTTGTTGGCTTCTTCCTGCTTCACGTGCAAAAAGCTAATGTTTGCAAGCAAGTTCGCCATTACAACACATGAGACGAGTCCATGTTGTACTTCTAGGTTGTGGTTGTAGCACTGCCTGCCCCCTACCGGTCGAAATGGGAATTCAATTAAATTAAAAGCTTTTTTGGTAAAGTCTATTCAATATTAAGCCTATTAATAAGTATTGCCTGTTTGATGATTAAAAGAACCGGGTTTGGAAAACAGTGTAGCCTATGTGCCGTTCTGAGGTTCAGATGCATGACAAACCACCATGTAGGCCTATATAACTTTAATTTAAATTAAATGTAGGCCAACTTCTGACAGTATAGTAGTGCAAGACATTAGAGTGACTGTGGTACTGTTAAAGGTTTTACTAATCAGCTTGAAAATATGTGTCCAGTTAGTATTTACATTTTGAAAACAGGCCTTAACTAAAATCTGCCTTTTTTTGTACCAACAAAGAACGAATAAACAATATCACCCAAAGAAACACATGTTTGTATTGTTCTGCATCAGATTTTCCTTGTGTTTTTTCCAGATGTTTCAACACAGAACAGACATCTTGGATATTGGACTCATTGCTGGTTGAGGGGCTGTGCAAAGGAGTTTCACACATACAAATTGGATCTCTGAATATTTTAAAGAAGTGTACCTGATTGTAGAAGTAGAAAGCAAAGCAGAGTAAAATTCAATACAAACTTTTTTTATTTTTTCCATGTGTTTATTTGATTTCCAGTTGAAGACACAGTGTTGCAAAGTGCCACAGTTTGCATAGGTCTGATAAGAAGATAAACCAAACAGCTGTATTTCCATATTTCAGTTGAAACCAGGTCACCGCCCACCAAGCAGTCAAACGGACCAGGATTTGTTGCAGTACCTTACAGTAACAACAAAGTAATCACTGTTACACATACTGGGATATATGTCATGTTTTATCATATAGAAAAGTAACTTTACAGTCTTTTGGTCATGGGGGAAGTCCAACTGAAATGTAGAAACGGTTGCAAAATTGTTCAAATTAATGTTGTAATTTTGATGTTTGACTTTGACATTTAAGTATGGATCGGATTTTTCCCAAATTGAATTAGTTTGAAAGGTTGCCCAGGGACAAAGATTACTTCATCACTGATTGTCTGTTACAGAACTAAGAAATAAGAGTGAGTGTGGGTTTGAAATTATACTTAAAATATGTATCAAACGCTCACCTCCTCCAGGCTTAAGATCCTTCAGGGAGGGAGTATTTGACCCCAACCAGATTGCTCAAAGTGCAACATAACGATAATATAAAATCACTAAAACAAAATTAATAATATTTGTATAAGTCCCTAACATTTCCTGCTACATATCATACATGTATCTCTCATCATAAGCATATACTTACAGCATGCATACAGGGCTTTCACTGGTCCACTTGAGTCCAGATAAAATCCCGTCCTTATTCACACATAAGACGCGTAAGCACTTCCACATTGGCATCTTTTCTTAATATAAGATATCCCTTTACAGCTGATGCTCTTTAAGAGACACCATGTTTATTACATAGGCTACATTGTAAACATTCATTTTTCTTTGTGAATAAATACTCCTGGGTCAGTGTTTGAACACTGCTGCACACATGGAACTAGTTCACATTTTCATTAACTTATTTGGACATTCATAACAAAAAGTTATTAAATTCACAGCTTTTGCCATTTGAAGTTGTGAAAGCAGACACAAAGGGCTAATTTACAAAACAGATTAAGCCTATATCTTAAGGTTTAGAGACTTAAAATATACTAATTGTGATGTGTCAAGTTTTGATCATATCCCAAAGTTTCATTCTCAGATGTCTATTTTCAAAAAAACAGTTTGAGGCAGTCCATTACTGGGTGTGAGTGGTGGTCCCCAATCTCTCCCTGAGCTGTTAGTTTCTAAAAGAAGCACACATAAAAAGAGAAGTTAACAAGGAGTTTGTATAGATGAACATTTAAAGGTCCCATGTCATGCTTTTCTGGCTATTACCCGTCCCCTTGTGTGTTATGAAGCTTTTTCTGCATGTAAACGGTCTGCAAAGTCACAAACCCTCAAAGTACACCCTGTCGCGAGTAAAACTCTAACACAGAAAATACCTGTCTATGCTGCCCCAGAACGCCTCGTTGGAGATTTTTCTTTTTCCATTTTTTTCTTCCGGGGCAGGTTGACGTCACTAAGTCCAAATGGCTAACAAACGCCATTGTAAAACATAAACAATGATGTTCAGCTGTAACGGTGGTTGACTAATCAGAACAGAGTGGGCGAGCTGACCAATCAGAGCACAGTGGGCTCATAGGGGGGGGGGGGGGGGGCAGGAGCTCCAACAAGGTGTTTAGGACAGAGAGTGAATACACATACTATACAGAGATGCTGTATGAGAAACCAATGTGATTTTGGAACATTGAACAATGTAAATCTATTCTAGTAGACCTAAACAACGGAATTATGATCAGTAGAAAATGGGACATGGGACCTTTAAAAGAAAACATGCGATATATTACCTGTTTGGCCTTTTCTGTCCAGCAGATGGAGCCAAAGTAGCTTTTCCTCTCTGCAGCGCATTAGTGGAAACCTGCAGTCCCTTCATTTGTTGCTGTTCCTACATAAAAAAATGCAAAATTTAAATTTTAAATTTAATTCACAAGAACAACACGGGATAACTTAAAGAATGACAGAATATTCACCCCTGGTAGCTTGTTGACAGGTAAAGGCGGTGGAGGTCTGTTTGGGGGGTCTGGTCTGCCTTTTGGTGCTGCTGAATGCTGTGAGTGGGTTTTGGCATCGTTGGAAGGTAAATGCGGAGGTGCTGGAGGCGGTGGAGGAGCCTGGTTCCGTCTCTGCTCGCCGAGTTGCACAGATTTAGCTGAAGGTGCAGTGTAACCTTGAGAAGAGCATTGTCTCTGAGGTGTTTGCTCTCTCTGCACTGCAGCATACAAAGGGATAGGAGGAGGCTTCACTGCTGGACGCACTATGGCGTTCCTGGACCGAGAAGAGCAAGATGGGCTGGGACGAGGAGAAGATTTCCCCTGTGGAAGAATGAAACCATCGCAAAGTTAGTGCTTTCTTCAAATATTAACAAATAATAGCAAAGTGCATTACTGTCTCTTCTTTACCAGGTTATCCGAGTCCTGTTTTTTAAGCAAGAATGTTGGGTTGGCATGACCGTTCACATGAACGTCAGCATGCAGAGGCTTGCCATCGACCGGGACTGAACAACTGAGGGGTAAGACACAAATACAAAATAATATTATTTATCATTTTTGTTCATTTATTGCATTTAGTTACAAGAATGTACAGCCATACCATTACAAATACTAAATATAAAACAGATTAATAAGAAGGTTTATAAGAAAAGTAGCTCATAAAAAGTTAACAACAGTACATAAACTGTTCTCACCACACTTTAAATACTAGTTAAACTTGCAGAATATAATTTCCTAAATCTTTCTGAAATGTTAAACAATATGGGCAACCAGAGGACTTATCCTGTAATTATTCCTGCGTAATGAATGACATACCTTGGCACTGGAGGTGGAGCGGAGGACTTCAGTGGGTGGAGTTTATGTCTGTAGCAGAACAACAGTCCAACAGCGGCCAGAACCACAAACAGGACCAGAGGAAGGACCACCAGGACTGGAAGGAGATTGCCTGTTGAACATTTAAATAGAAAAAGTCAAAAATGTGCATAATTTCAAAGAAAAGTTATAATCTCAAAGCTCAGTGTCTCACTGTGGGTGATGACGGGTCCGCTGTCCACACTCCCCCCCGACCCCTGTTGCTCACACAGAGGAGGAGCCCAGCCCGTGTCACAGTGGCAGTTGTGATTGTTGTTGCACAGCTGGGCAAAAACAATATTACACATTAGAAATACAACAAACAAGTTTATATTCATTACATTGACAGGCAAGTACAGAAGTAAATAAACAAATATGAATTGAGTCCAGTGTTGGCATGTAACTTAGCCACTTACTGTTACTTGTAATTGACTTTAATATAATATTTTGCAACTTTATAGTTCTATAGTTCACTTAATTTGAGAGGAAATACATATACTTTTTATTCCGCAACATAACTATAATTACTTTATGTAAATGTTTCTGATGATCAACTGCCCTTTTACTTTAAGATTGAGAATGCATGCAGTATTTCCACTTTGCTATATTGATATTTATAATCAAGTAAAAAGGGTCTCAATACGTTTTGCACCACGGCCAAGTTTGCCAGCTTTTCATAATAATGGGCTGGCAGCCAAATACACACCTAGGAAATCCATTTCCTTCTTCTCAGACACACATAGAAACTTACCCCGTGTCCACGGCACTTTGCATTGCACTCATCAGCTCTGAGGAAAGATGCATTGCGGCATTCTCCGTTAAAGCAAATCTGTAGAGAGAAGGAGGGGTGTGAGGAAGAGAGAACGAGAATCAATTAGTTTCTATAGGTGGTACAAAAAAGGTTTGAGCCACAAACTTTGTAATTGACAAAGAAATTATGAAATGTGGCTTTCTGACAGGAATAATACTAACCAGAATCTCAAAAACACAACTAAAGAATTATCTCTGTCAAAACAAGAAAATCTCACCGAGTCATCTCCACACTTGGTGCCCGTCATGACCAGGCCTGGGTCCAGAGTGTCCCCCTGCCCCTCCTTGTCCCCCTGCCCAGGCTTGTACACATGTGTTCCCATACAATGGATCTTCCTGTTGCCCACACTGACAGTGGTTTCTATACGGACAGCATTGTTCTCGATGGGCTTGTCGGATGAGGTCAAACACTGGATTTTCCCACATTGAGCATCACTAGCAGAGATAATAAAAGCAGATATATAGTTTGTTGATTGATTAATAACAAGTTTAAATGAAATTCTCAAGAAATGTCAATGCCCTCTATAATGTTTTAATCGTCACCTGTCCTTACAGCTCCTGTACTTCCCGAACAGATCCTTGCCACAGTTCCCGTACATGTCCCCGGCTTCGTTTACCTTCCTAAAACACAGGTCAGGTGCTGGACGGCCATCTGTGGTGGCAGGAGATGAAAGGAACACATACACATGAATACGGCTGCAGATACACACACAATAACAAACACATGCAGATGATGCCTGCACAGTGTGTTATGTGACCCCCTGATGTAGACCAGATGGTATCTCGTACTCTTCTGTGTGGCTCCTGTGGTCCTACAAAGGCTCTCTGGGGAGGCTCTGTCACAATGGGAATATGGACACTGTCCAATAAAAATCACTTATCCTGTGACCCGCTGAGGACTCTATCTCTACCCAGACTCCCTGCTTTACTAGGCTCTGGATATTTTACTGCTTTAAATATACAAGAGTGTTTGATTGTAACAATTATCGTTTATAGATTATCTAACCACATTTAAAAGATGATCTTATTAAAGCATTTATCATCCACTCATGCAGTTAAACACTGAAAATAAAAGGTTATGGAACAGGAATCTCCTTTTGGAAATTCCTTTATTCAATTTGAATCGAAATACATGTCCATCTGGTGTGTACCAAGCCTTTTAAGAGGCATCTGAGAACTAAACAATTTTTATTTTGTTACACCTGTATTTTTTTCTTAAGAACAGAATCCCAGGAAAATATATTTTTTATCTGCGAAATAAGTGGGGGAAAAAGTGTTCCTCTATCCAATATAAAACTCACATGGAATAAAACCTTAATGGTTTAATGCTATTTATTTACAACATGACACAGTGTTGCACATCAGCCTCTTGTGGCCAAATAATTATTACCACACCAACACAGAAAAAAGGTGCCGATTAATGGCTTAATTTTTTTTGTAATACTACACCAAGCAAAGAAAGTGTCTTAACTTGCAATCAGACTAGCCCTAGTTTTAGATAGTTATACCCAATAAACTTGAAACGGATTGTATATGCTTTAATACATTTCCAAAACTGAATATGCTACACGTGTTTAAATGACATACTTCCCCTTATGGAACTAAATATGTTCAGATAACAAGCATCCAGTTTACGCACCTCGTCCCCAGAGAGAGAGACACTGCTGCTCCAGGGTCAGACACATGCCAGTGTAACAGTAGGCCTGCCCGCCTGCACACGACGAACCATCCACCAGATAGAAATTAGCCGGACAAGACTCTGCCTTCCCATCGCAGTACTCTGGCAGGTCACATGACCCCGAGGGAGCACGACACAGCACACCCGGGCTCTTCAACTGGATAGAGAGATGACGAGAAGTTTAGGAAACACACTGATGAAGAAATAATGAATTGTAGAGATATCATTAAATATCTACAGTGTTAATCTAGTAAACCCAGTTGAGGATTTTATATTTGTTAAGGTGATCATCAGTTTCTTATAGTACCTTGCAGTTTTGGCAGCAGACACCATGGGCACACTCAGCTCCAGCCTTCAGAGTGCAGTTGTTGGCATTACAGCAGGGACTGGTACACTCCTACACAAACAATATGGAGTCATTATCCTACTCTAAACATACAAGGAAAATATGCCAACATATGAGAGACACAACACACCTCTTCTTCTCCACAGTCACATTCTTCTCCATCCTCCAGGTAGCCGTTGCCGCAGCGCTGCCCTCCGTACATGGATCTTGTGTTTGGCAAGTTGAAGAGACACTTCCCCCCTCCAGAGCTCAGGTAGCTCTTCAGCTCCTTCTGGTTGCAATCGTTAAAATCACGTGGGAACGGATGCCTGGGGGGGGGGGGGGGGGGGGGGTGGATGGAAAACAAACACAGCCAGGTAAGACTTCGGGGGGGGGGGTGGATGGAAAACAAACACAGCAGGTAAGACTTCATGAGATCAGCCATGTTAAATCTTCTGTTTGTCTCTTCCCTACTAGGGTTAGTAACTGTCATTTGTCTGGTAGTAAGTCATTTCTGGTTCATACCCAGTAGCAGCAGCCATGATGCAGCCGCCGTCCTCTGCCTTGGCCTGGCAGCAGCCTGCACTGTCGTGGCTCATGCCGAAGTTATGACCCATCTCGTGTGCGATGGTGGCAGCTACACCCACAGCTGACTCTGAGTGGTCCTATTCAAAGAAGAGTCAAAGATTACTCAAAGATGTGTAGAAAAATATTCAACATATTGTGTAATATGTTTCTCTTTGCATTTTGGGGATACTGTCATTACTGGACACACATTCACTAGTCTAAACTAGAATTATTTAAACTTAAAAGCATTCATTAGGTAATATGTTTGGTTTTTTTCAATAACAAAAACGTTTGTTTAACTCGGCTAATCAAGTTCTTTTTTGATATATTTGAAGTTTTAGAGGAATATTAATCAGGCATTCAATTGTGGTCCTTACCTTTTTTCCTCACACACGTACATTTGGCGCACACACCCTACAACCCTTCCCCTATTTTCTAAAAGTGAGTGCATAGGAGAAAATGTTTGTTTGTCTCTCACCGTGTTAACTCCACCAGACTGGTACTCGGAGCACATGGCTTTGAGAGGGGCCAGTCCGATGGTGGTGCCCTGGAAGCCCTTCCCCCTAAAAACGACACAGTATGCCCTTGGTAATTACTAGCTCCAACTGCACAACAGCCCACAGGGATACAACTGGTGATGGTTATAGTCTCATGCAATCAAGCAAATATCAATTAAGAGATCTACTAAACAACACTGTTGTTGTAGAGAGTGAAGATATGAGTGGTAGAAGAATGACACTGACGTGATGAGCTGAGCGTTGTCGTTGGGCAGCGAGCGGAGCTGTTTGCTTCTCCAGGACAGGAACGCTGCCAGAGTGCTGTGAGGGTTGTCCGAAACGCTGATCATGTTCTGGCTGGACCACACCTCCAGACCGATCAATGCCACGCGGATGTTTAAAGCCTTGTAGTACTGCAGGTGTGGACAGGAAAAGCCACAGACACAGAGTTGAACTACTACATATAGGCATCACAAACCTGATGAGTCAGTTTTTAGTCAAATCAGATGTTACCTTGTCAACCAAGTTGGCCGCTTCAAGTAATTTCTGTTTGGTCTTCTCGAGACTACTCCCATGCTTCTCAAACTGCAAACCACATAAACCAAATTAAACAGAGAAACAGACACACCCACGTTATGCTTTTTACATCTGCTCGAACCGTAAAAAGGGGACTTCAGACAACAAACAGGATGTGAAACTGAGCTTTATATTCACAATACCTAGAATGATGGGTGCAAGTTACTGACGTTGCTTTCTATATTTAGTTTTATTGCAATACTGTGTGAGGCAATTATACAATAATGTACTGCATGTGAATAGCTGGAAACAATTCTAAACATATTGAGACTGACAGCTATTCACGCTCACGTTAACACCTAAAAGCTATTTAAAGTTTCACATGTACCTCACCTGGTAGACTATTCTAAACCACGAGAACTATTCTCCAGTAGTAAGTCCATACACCTACATACAATGAATCATAATCTCTGAACATATATCACTAGAGCTAGTCCCTGCCAAACAAAATAATACAAATCACATACTATTTCACATTTGACCACAGTTAACCCTCCCCTGCCTTCACCCTAAAAAAGGGCTTTATTTGATGTCTTTATTATGTCTCTCAGCTTGCTTTTGCTCTTTTTGTTTGTCTTTATACATGCACGTTTCCTTGTCTACTCCTGACTTGTATCTGTTGCCTGTTTGTTCTTTTATCTGTGGTCAAGGTGAGTGGCTTACTTGCACCTTCATTCCTTTTTGTTTTAAGTAATATTGTTGTTAACCTTATGCATTTTTAGGTACCACATTACAATGAGACTACCCTTATAAAGGGTTTACAAATATTTGTAATTAATTAATTAATTAGGTTGTGAACACTTTATAAATCATTAATAAGCTTTTATGAGACATGAGATAAACAGGGCAACTGTGACCGGTTGCTTGCCAAATAGTGAGCCCGTATTTATCTGTCCTGCTAAGCCTTATATTGGCTACTTAGCTTACTTTGTGTTCTTCATCAGCCAGCATCCTTGGTGTCTGTTGTTCACTGAGTTGATTCTCGCTAAGTAGCCAATATAAGGCTTAGTCATCTTGCCAAATAGTGAGCCTGTGTTGATGTCTATGTTAGAACCTTTATGAATCCTTTATAAGGGTAGTCTTATTGTAAAGTGGTACCCATTGTTCTTATGTCTCATTGGCTACTAATTAGGTTTAAAGCCTCTTCCTGTACTCCCACATTGAATGATGTCATAAGGAAACCTTCTTGTCCTCACCTCAGCCTTGTCTGCCACTAGCAGCAGCTCCACGTATTTCATACTCTTACTCAGGTCCCTTTTTTCCTGAGAATAGAGACAGAATTGTTTATAATAGATGGTGTGTTGACAATATTGTCATGCTTTGTGTAAAACTTGCCAAGGATTTCAGTCGTCATCGTTCTCCCTGTCCTAACTCACCCTCCTGCTCCGTGGTGACATTATTCCATGGAGGAAGTCGTTAAGCCCCTCCTTATGCTCCTTGTTGCCATGGTGATGCAGGCAGCTACCCTTGGGTAGATGGAGACTCTCTGCTCTGAACACGGCGTGCTGCTGTGCGCCCGTGGAAACAGGAAGAGGCTCGATCAGGTAGCTGACGCTTGTGTTCAGAGAAATCAGTCCCCTGGGAAAACAAGACGCTGTTAATGGTTCCATCCAATCAGGGCTCGAGGTGGATCAATAATGTTGATGACTGAATCTGCACACTGTGATGGACTCTGGAAATCATAGCTTCTGCAAATACGTCTCAAACCTCTGATTTAATGTTATTACCATCAGTAATCTTTTATTGCATTGTCAAACTAATGTCTGCATGTCAAATCTGGATTTTTTTTTATTTGGCTGTGGTGGTTTTATGGATGGGTGGAGCAGAGCGTCGCGTCTCAGGCGATTTACTGCCGTTTATAAATGAAGATCAGCTGCAGCACACAGAGGGCTACACACACTCCTCTGGCATTCTGACAAAACTCTTTCATGATGGCAGACGTCTAAACACAAACACACACACGCATGCACACAGCAGCAGGTCAAGCAGCTGTACAAAACATCTGGAGAGGTCAGACGCCCACATGTTGATGTCCCTCTGTGCTGTGTTTGCATTCCCCCAGAAAATCCACATAGGAAGACTTATTCATTCACTCATCCTCCAGAGCGCTGAGCCCACATAAACACACATATGGCTACGATTCAGTTCCTCCTCTGCTGCCGGCCTGTCTGATTGTCTCTAGCAGGAAGGCTCAGCAGCCTTGCATATACAGCAGGAGGAAACACTGGATCTCCAAACTGAGCTGTACTCAATGAACCAGCTCTGGAGCCAATGACCTACTAACATACTGGACTGCACAAGACACTACAACTGTTTCCTGTCCCCTTATCCACTTCATGGGTCGATAACAGGCTGGACGGTTGTGCGACCTTTAGTTATAATATTGTCATCAAGAAACTTATGTTTAAATCAATCTAAGGGTTTTCTCTGGGAGCACATAACTTGTACTTAAATAAATCACAGTAAGGATTCCCAGCTTAGACCCTGATTAATGCATTTTCTGACAAGATCTGTTCAAATCTGTGTCAACATTGGACAAGTTTAACCAAATAGAGATTGTTGAACAACAGTAACTTACTGCATGCTGGACAGGTATTATATCACTTACATCGTAAAAATGATTATGTAGGCATTAATTTTGTCCTGTTGGCCCAAAGTGTTTTCTTGTCAGATAGAAAACAAATGAACTGAGAGCGTAAATGAGTATTAATGGAGCTAAAAGCTTTAATTCATTGATCTCGCAGTGCCAACACATCTTTAATAAGATGAATCACAAACATAATCCATCCAAGATTTATTCTGCAGCACTAACTCCCTGCTTGGGAGTATTGGGAAATGTTCTCTTGGCTCTACTTCTTAGAGCTCTTTACTGCTTTGCTGGAGAAACTGGAGAAAAGAGCTGTCTTCATGAATCGCTTTTTAAAAATATTTTTACTTTTAAAAGGATAACGTCTTATGGGAGACTTCTTCAAATTCTAAGAAATGCCTTTCACCATTGGGACCAACTCTACATATTAGATAACTTTATGAAGTGTTACTCACCTGAGTCCTGAGCATGTGCTAACAGCAACACTTGAGCCTTCCATGCCCAGAACCTCCCCATGGTAGAAACAGTGTCCCTGAAAGACAAAGATAATAGAACTTAGTCTCTATGTGGGGAAGCAGACTGGTGCAGTGATAAGGCCATCATTCAACCAGAAGACCTTATTATGTGAGCATAAAATGTATTATTTGACGACCATACCGCCTGCTATCCTCCTGCCAAGGCTTTGATCAACCAAAATGGTGTCCATTTCTCTTCACTGATCACTTACAGCTCCCCACTGAAGGGAGAGCATCAAACTGTCGCACAGACTTACAGTGTTGCCAGGAGAGGAGGACTTGCGAACTCCTTCGGGAGTGTACCATATTTCCTGATATCCAGGAGCCAACAGATGCCTGGAGAAAGATGGCACAAACTCAGAGAATGCAAAAGAATATATGTAGTGTCAATCTCCTGAAACAGCTATAATATGGTAGAGCAATGGGGGAAATGTAAAAACTGCAGCAGACAGAGATAGAAAAGTCTCTCCCGCAGCCCACAGCTCATGAAACATTTACTTTGACAGAGACACTCTACAAAACCAGACTGCTTTAAAGATTTAGACAAAGATCCTCACAGAGATAAGAGGAAAAACAAAGAATAGTGTGGAAATGGGTTGAGACTGTAATAAAATCCATATGTACCTTTCCCTAATGACTCTTGTGACCTTGTGTAAAGTATAGCTTTAATAGGAGACTGCATTTGTTTGACACAACCATTATTTACAAATGTCCTATTTTATATTACTAGAGTTTCTCCATTAGTATACAATACCGACTGCACATGAGAGGCAGATAAATCAGTGAACACATACACATACCGAAAGAACCTACATTTCACTGTGGTAAAACATCACATTCCTCTTACTCTCCATCTGTGAGTGTGACTGAGTGAGTGTCTTCAGACTCGGGCTGTTTCTGTCAAAGTTCTGTCAACCCACCGCCCCAATATTTACATCTCGCACAGATGCTTGTTTTCCTGTCTCTCTCCTTCCAACTCTGTCTCAATCCATTCTTCCTGTTTTCATTCATAAACTGTGCCTGTCTCACAGCTGGTTTTCTTTTGCTGTGTCTCTCTAAATCTCCCCCACGGTCAAACTCAGATGCATCAAACAGGCTGTAACTGCAGTTAAATCAGGCTTTGGAGAAACCTTCATGTTTCTACTGGAGCTGGGAGTAGACTTGACTTAAGCCTAAAATAAACACGAGACAGAGACACAGACAACGTCTAAGATGTCCCACTAAGATTGATAATGCCGTTATGTGATGTCTTTCAAAGAGAAAAGCAAGCACACTCGGAATAAAGTATTTTTTTAAATGTTTTGGGATTTCTAATCGCATAAACACCATATCCCAACATGCATTGCGGCTAAAACATCCAATCACCGAGCTTCAACCATAGCTGAGGATCTTGGGTAATCAGTTCAGTGGGTATGTATCGCAATCACGCTCGAAAAACCCCACAGCAACATAGAAAAGACGGTCATAACATGACCCGGCGCACTAGTTAATAGACAAAACAATTTCATACAATTTTATTAATGACTTTATTTTGATTCAGTTCCTGACGGACGGCAAAAAAGCCCGAGATTATAGAATCAAACAAATAAATAAAAACAAGGATAATTGTGTTATTGTTGAGTAAATAACAGTGTGTTATTTAGAAAAGAATAACAAATTAGAAGGAAAAAATATTTTAAAACGGCAAAAGAAAGTCAGACATTATACGATTTAAAATAAAAAGAATAATCTTGGCTTGATATTGAGTAACAAAATGTTTTTATGAACCACACAGCTTCGGGTGTTCCAAGACCAGACCGGACAAAAAGACGTGGTGCAGGCACAAAACATACTACCAATAGAAACACATTGCTTTTAAAATCGTTCTGTGTGACACGAAAACAGGGCCCGCCTGGGACAATAAGTCAGGCCGTAGAATTATACACCCAGCCAGGCCACTACCAGTTTTTTTTAAGGCATTTTGCTGGATTTATTTGTGAATATTTACAGCATTGCTGCCCATAGTGATAGCCCTATAGTTTAAATCTACCCAATAATAAACATATGGACAGGGGTTACTATTTAAAAAAAATTGCAAATGCAAAAAAGGCCACATCATGTGGACAGACAGTCACCCTGTGTGAGGCAGACCCACATTTGCGCAGCGTTGCGTTCAAAATACATTAAAAAAAAAGAAAATCGCCAGGCCAGCAGGCCACTTAACAGGCCAGGCCATCGGGAAACCTCCCGGTCCTCCCGATGGCCAGTCCGGGCCTGCACGAAAATTGTGTTGGTGAACACGAATCAATAGATTACATTTCGTGACTATAACACGAAATGCCGTGAGACTGGGTTGAATAGTTACAAAGTCACTTCTGGTTACAGTGAATCTTTAATGTTTTATAAATTACATTTAATGTGTAAATGAGTGAGGTCAAAATAGCTTGATTTTGTTATTCCTGGACGCTAACATTTCCCCCCTGCTTGAAGTCTGTATGCTAAGCTAATCTAAGATAGCCAGCCAGCTCCTGGTTTTGCTTGGGAGGACATGAGAGGGTCCACTTATCAATCTTTTCATCTAACAATCGGCAAGGATGTGATTAAGGGCATTTACCCAAAATGTCAAACTATTCCTTTAAAGGACGATGAAGACAAATTAAGGGAAGATGGGGATTTTTATTTTCTCTCTCTCAGATGCCCTGAGGGAGAAAATAGTCTTGAAACAATGACAGCCTGGTGATGCAATCAACCACAAAGCAAGTCAAAGACAGAACACATCTGATTAATCCTTTAACAGATTACCACTCTGGGTTTGGTGGGGTGAGGGGGACTCTGTTTGCCCACACACGCATAAGCAGTCTAACAGAAGAGTTCAAAATCATCATTCAGTGGAAATGTATCCGGCTGATGTCACCCTAAGCTTGGTAACCCCCCCTTTATTGTTATTTGACCTTCTAACCGCATTTATATCTGGCTTTCCTTTAGTTTTCCTGCTTGTCTAACCACCGGAATATTCCCATCATGCTCTCCTGTCATCTGTGTAGCCCTCTCTGTCGCTCTAACTTGCAGAATTAATGGCAGCATGCCTGATGATCGACTGAGCTTTTCGCTGCCGCCTTCACACAGGAAGGATCGCTTCTTCCACAAGGAGACACATAATGACTCTTTCTCTCCGCCATCCTCCCTTATTTTCCCATGCCTGCAGCAGCTGTGTGCATTAGAAGATTGATGACTATATAACCTGCTGCCATGTGACATATAGACATTGTCATTACTGAAAGCACTACCAGCTTAGTTGTAGTGTTTTAGTTTTGTCTTCAAATTCTGAGTTGAAACCCTGCAATTTATTTGGTCAAATTCAGACAGAAAGTTAGATACAGACTTATCTGTTAAGGCAATAAATAACGTACATGACCACACTTTATAGCGCCATAGCCACTGTGGTTGCACCAGCTCGTGGTTAATATAAACCGTTAAGAACTGGATGAAACAAAGCGCCTGTCATAGGGCCTGAAGAAACAACCACAAGAAACACTGAAGATAACTTATAACCATTACCATAACCATTCAAACAGTGTTCTTTCAATTTGACACATCAATGTTTCCGGTAGTAAAAAAAAATATATATAGCTCAGGTAAATGGACAAATGCATTAGAGTCATGGCTTCATGTCTGGGAACTGTTTTATGTAACAATAGGAGGATATGTATGCTTCCGAGTGTAGAATAACCATGCCCAATATAGCATGGAACGGGTGACATGGATATCCATATACAATACAATCTGTTCATCGTAATGATAGTCTTTGATCAGAGAAAAGGGAGAAAAATATTTTGAAAAGAAAAAGTGACAAAATTCGTTATTTTACAATGAATGGTTATATTAGCTTAGCATAAGGACTTTAAACAGTCTGGAAATAGCTGGCATGGCTCTGTCCAAAGCAATCTTTTTTAATTAAAAGCACCCGTAAAGCTACTGATTTAGTCATTTTTAAAGTTTGATTACTGTAAAGAGTAAAAACAACAATTTCTGGTCGTTTTCCAGACAGGACTGTTTCTTCTGCAAAATCACATTTTTCTGATTTTACACTTTGTAATTTGCAAGAACATACATTGTGTTAATCAGCTTCAAAGGTGCTTTAAGGAGGATTGTATTACCTTTGGACATAGCTAACAGAGTCACCCTGTTTTCTGCTGGCGTTTTTTTTCTTATGTACCCCAAGGGAGTGAACGTGCAATGCAATTCTCATCTAACCCTCAGTTACATAGTTAAAAAGACAAACACCCTTTGAATATCCCAAACCCATTGACTCTAATTCAATTCTGGTAAAAGCAGTGAGAGCTTTCAAATCTGCATATACCGCTCTTCATGATGGCGGGAGAGCTTTACAGAGTTTGGAATTTTTCCAGTGTTCAGACAGATGCCGTGATTGAGGAGCGCAATACTGGCAGAATCAGGACTGTCTGGCAGTCAGGCCGAGACAAAGGCTTGGTTCAGACTCATGAGTGGAGAGGAGGGGTGGGGGAGTAATGCTAATGTACTTGGGAGATAACGAAGGAGGCAGGGAGGGAGGGAGGGAGGAGAGGGGACGTGGGGTAATGCATCAGGGTCAGTGGGTCGCATTCCCTCATGGTGTCGGGTGACATCACCACACGCGGGTGGAGGGAGAGAAAGCTGACGCAAAGTCAAAGTACCACTCTGCAACTGATGATGAAGAGGCTTTTATTGCACAGGGAGGCCACTGTACTGTGTGTGTGTGTGTGTGTGTGTGTGTGTGTGTGTGTGTGTGTGTGTGTGTGTGTGTGTGTGTGTGTGTGTGTGTGTGTGTGTGTGTGTGTGTGTGAGTGTTTCCCCAACACACACACCAGCCTACATTAAGACATCAAAGCATCCAGAACAGAGCCACAGTGAGACTAAACATAGAAACAAGGACAAGCGAATGCATCCCTGCATCCCAGACCTGTGATCCATCAGGTCTTTCAGCCTTGTTTGTGTTCTTTCAGGCTGCTGTGTGTTTTTATGTGTGTGTGTGTGTGTGTGTGTGTGTGTGTGTGTGTGTGTGTGTGTGTGTGTGTGTGTGTGTGTGTGTGTGTGTGTGTGTGTGTGCGTGTGGCCCGAGTCTCTCAAACCCTGACCACGGAGATGAGTGGGAGATGTATATTTGTATTGGAGCCCTGGGGAATGTCAGACGAGGTGAGAGAAGGCGAAAAAAGAGGAAGATTGGGGTGCTCGTTTTTTAAGAGTAGACAGTGGAAGACATACGAGGTGAGGACGAGGGGAGAGGAGGAACAACGATTTGAACATTTCTCACGGGAGTGCTTAATTCAGGTTCATGCACTTAAGGGTGTGCAGGAAGGGCATTAACCAGGAGAACAGAGAAAGTCATGTAGAGGAGGAAGCGAGAACATCCACAGGATTCAATATCTGAACCACATAACTCATCCCCAAACTGACCCAGAGCGTTGCTACTTTTCTCTTTCCATGACTTTTCTCACCTCAACCCTTCTCTTCCGGCACATCACTCACTTTCTTACACTGCGTCCTCCCCCCTCTCGCTCTGTTTTTACATCCCTTTTCCTGCACTCTGAGTCAGCACACTAGCCGCTGCCTGACTCCTAACCAGATCAGCCCTCTGCAGCCTTTCATTAAGATAAAAGCTCAGGCTGAGTCACATTGCATCGATGCACGACAAACCACAAAAAAGGAAAACCCACACACACATTGACAAGCAAGGAGGGGAGGACGTAAATGGATTGAGTCTGTGCTTCAGCCACAGGGAGTACCGATGCCCACAAACATAAACAGCTAGTTCTTTCTCCAGGTTTTGATAAAGGGATACATTTAGTAGAGGAAGTGGAGTGGAACAAAAGGGGAGAGAGCGAAAAAAAAAGGAGATAGGTAGATAGGATAGATAGGATAAACAGAAAGATTAAGAGCATCTCACAGGGAGTGTGGGTTCTCCCTTATCTGGTGACCATCTGAATTGCAGTTGTAAGGGCAATGAGGACAAGAGGGAGTAGCCAGGACACGGAGATGGTCACTGGCAGCATTTCTTCTGGCTTATCTCCAAAATCAGACATTGATATTCAGTGGCACAAACTGCGGTCGGGGGATTTACTGTTTGCAGAGAGGGGAGACACTGGCTGGTGGCTGGGGAAAGTGGTACAACTCAGACTAAATAACGTGTCTTCAAAGAGAGCCAGAAAGCACTTTCTCTTAAGGCTGTAGATTTTCCGTAAGGAGCCGTGTGAAAGCTATCGGGTTGGGGAGGGGGAGTGTGCTACAATGTTTGAAAAACTAATCCTTGAAAGAGTCACTAAAAATGTTTCGACTTTATTCATACAAACCTCTGTGTTTTTAAAAGGTTGTATTATGTAATTAAATCATATGTTAAAATGAGCACCTAATTGCTCATTGGAAATGATAGTTAACATAGTTGTCGTGTCGATGGTTTATCAGACTTGAGTTTCAGTGACTAAATTAACAACAACAGGCGCAGCTCAAGGGAAGGCTTACATAAAATATAAGGTAACACTTTATATTAAGGTACACAAATTAACCATTAACTAGTTGTATATTCTTAGATATATACACCTAATTTTAAATTATTTAGACACAATTAACACTTATAATTTCATGTCTTGTTAATAAGTGTTATTATGGTATAATTACTATTCTTGTGGTACTACTGCCTTATTAGGCCCATATTGAGCAGAGCATATTAAGACCAAAACTCATGTACAACAACTGCCTTAGAGGCACGAATTAGAGGGTTATTGGGGAAAAACTCTCAATTAATGGCTTATTACTTGTAGAATATGGTCATGCAGAATAAGGCATTAATAAGTGTAAAATAGAGAGCCAATATACTGCTAATATGCATGTTAATTAGCAACTAGTTGATGGTTCATTTGTGTACCTTAATATAAAGTGTTACCAAATATAATTATGGTTAGAAAATGTTGAAAGACCTGCTCTTACAAATATATTCAGACTACCTTCAGAAAAGAGTCAACACAAAGAAACGACCCTCCCCCTTTCGACTCCTTCCTAATAATGTTTCTACAGTCTTTAGTGGATACTAGAGGCTGAGGCTTAAGTGGATGAAACAGAAAATACTATTTAGATTCTTTCTTTTTCACATCAATAAAGCTTTTAAAAAGAGAACATCAAAGGATCAATGACAAGGACAAGGGATGAGTTCCTTTAATATTGAACTACGTCTTCTTTTGCTTTATTTTTAAAAGTTCTCTGTCTACCACAATGCTATTTTCATATCATGCCTTGTTTTACTCGATTTTATACCAAAAAACGTCTGCACTCTTCAATGTTTATATCTTTTAATACATAATAATAAATGTTTGACTTTCTTTTTATATTTATTTTATGTGCATTGTTGGCAGGAGCTTGAAATTGCCTTTGGGATTGCCTAATTAAAAATAAAGAACACCTCAGTCCTCTTGCTCTGTAACTGTAGCAGAAGTGATTGGCACCGGTGAAGAAATGTTACCAGATGTCTTGGTCCAGGAAACCGTTGAGAAGTTGCACAAAAAGGGTTTCAAAATATTTTTCTTGCCTATGATTAAAAGGAATAGGACTTTTTTTCTAGAGAATTGTATTTCCTCTTTCTCAGGACAGGCTTTAAATCAGTCAACACCATCTCCACCTCATGTAGTGGAACTGAAAAAAGGAAATCTATATCAAACCAACTTTCTGTCTGTCTTTTTCTCTGTCCTTCTCTTGAGCACCATTGGCTGACAACCAGCGTGTGATTGATTACAATTCCTTGCCCAGGAGGAAATCTAACAGTGTGACCACCTGCTGGGGAGGGTCAAATCCCTCAGGGTCCGGTCAGTCAGACACAGAGGAGTCATGGTCTGTTAATCTGTGTGCCTGTGAGTCAATGAGTGACAGGGAGAGTCTGCACTTGAACAAAAATGGACTGTATTTCTAATGTTCATAAAAGCTTCCATTTCCACTTGTGTGCTGGCCTAGATCCAAAAGTGATAAACCACAGCCCTGTAGTCACCAAACACATCTCCACCACTGCTGTCGTCCCCCCCCCCGGACAGGTACCGCTCCATCAGATTAGAGGAAGTTAGGTGCAGACGCACAGTCTTACTTCCTGTTTGCCCAGGGCACACAGATCGGGTGTCAACCCTCTGTCGTCTAAAACCATCAGCTCCTTTCCTCCCTTCATCCCCCTCTCTCTGCACTGACCTTATAAATGTGTCTATGTGACAGCTAACATCTGGTCAAATAAACGTCTACTGGACGTCTAAGAATACACAGCTCAATGTTGAATATTCTTAAAGACTTGATTTAGCGTCATGGGAAGAGTTTGATAAAGGCGACTACTTTAATTTTTATTTTGGACTCGTTTATGTACTTCCTGGGAGTGCTGAAATTAGAGATATGAACCTTCTGTATGAACACACTGGGGCCACTCACTTGTTTTTCTCCAGTTGTAGCTTGAGCTCACGGCCCTCAGCGGAGATCAGAACCTGGGCCTCTGCAGGATGCTGGGCCGGAAACAAAGATTGCAGCAAGTTGTCAACAAAAACTGACTCACATACAAATGCCAACATTATTATGTTTATTTTATATTTATAAGGTTGTAGATCTGAAATAAAGTTGATAGAAATTTGGTTTGGCGAGGTCACACATCAAAAACCATTAATTCATGCATACTCTTAGAGACAGGAAAAATAGGGAAACATCAAGGATTAAAAGTAAAAGACAAGAACTGATGTGTCTGCATCTCACTTTGATACTACTGACTCTTTTAAAAGAAAGGATGACAATAAAAAGAGGATTAGTCACAGGATTAGAAGAGTCATTAAGAATATGATCCTTTCTTTGTTAGTCTAATGGTTAAGACAACAGTAAGGGGTGGTAGCTCCTTGCCTGTGTTAGTGATATTAGTGAGATGAAGAGAGAAAGACTCACCTCTTCGTGGGCAGACCTCCTGTGTCTGTGAGGATGCAGCCATGTGGGATAAGTCATCTCATAACTCTGTACCTGGTCAAGGATGCTCCTCACTGAACCCTGCTCATCTCCTGATGATAAAACAGAAACAAAATGACATATAACCATGTTGCAAATGCTCTACAGTATGCTTTATCAATTTAGAAAATATAACATATGCATTGGAGGATTGACAATTTTAACAAATAAAACAAACTATGTTGTACATGTTGCATTCCCAACCCACGTGTGGGGTGTTGCATTTAAAACCAAACGTTTTCGAATGAAATGCAATACAGATAGACGTGTTCAAATCAGATTTCAGTCATTGCTCCAGGAGAACTCACCATTGTAAACAGCGCCTTCAGACTCAGCAGCCTGAACACAGGGCAGTGAAGCTATGAGCCACAGACACAGGGAGGACAGCACCGCACCGGCAGGAGGAGAGCGCGCTCCTCCCGGACGCATCCTAACAACGCACGGCTCCAAATGAACAATCTGCCGGACTGAGACATCAATGTGCGCGGAGCCGAGCCTGGGGGGTTCACATCAGATGGAGAAAACCCCGCCGGTGTGACATCGCGATAAGCTGTGCGTCTGAATGAGATGCTTGCAGACCGCGGGGTGCACATCTCTCACTCTCAACCCCTCCCCTTCATGATCACACATGCGCGCACACAGAAGGAGAGACACACTGTTACGAGGGAAGATAAGACAGGATGTGATGAAAAGATGTAGAGTGAGAAAAATACATTGAAATCACGATTACCGAACACTAGGCCTACAATGCAACAAGCGGTGTGGAGCACTTCCATGGAGCTCTATCTAACATTGTAAAAATAAATAATGTGTCTATAATCTTTATTCTAAATCTATAATAGTGTTCAAAAGCATCAAAAACGTAGTTAGTCAGTATACAACAAAGCAGATGTACATAGTTTAAGGGGTTGTTTAAGGATACCTGAATTGTTCTGCCTTATCTCTTAAAGGGGTACTCAAGCAATTCTATTATTGCACTTTTATGAAGCTGGTGTACACACAATAAGCAGATTTGAAAAGTTTATTTTAAAAAATTGAAGCAGTAGTGATGAAGATATCCTTACTTTCAGTTATCTACTTTAAGCTCACAAAATGCTGGATCCTACATTCCCCATCATGCAACATTTAACTTTTTCTTTCTTTGAACCTTACCTGCCTGATTAATGCCTACATTCTATCCTTTTTGTAAAAAATTGTAGTTTCCAAGTCCAAGCGGAGATCAACATGATGACATCACTGCGACATCTTCGCGGTTATCTTCTCCCGATTTAGAGCCGCTGAAGACGTTCACTGTTTTCACCGCCTTAGTATCACTCCTAATTTCTATGAAGCTGAGTACAATTGACTTCTTTAACTAGACTATATACTGCTGCATTCACACAATGTCGCCAGAGACAAAAACAGGAAAATTAATCATTTAGACTTTTAGGTTTTTAATTAAATTAACCAAGGAATGTTTTGTTGCCTTCACATTATCAAGTCGTTTTTTTGCATTTAGTTTTCTTTCAATTTACAACAATAACCACATGTTTATAAATGCAACCGTAATCTTGGAATCCTTGAACCTTCATTAAGAATGCAGTAAAGTTGTATTGTATCGTCATTTTGTAGGAGCCAGGGTCGAGCAATATGATGTAAAGACGGCTTACTTCTCAGTGGCCATTTTACCTAAAATAACTGAGATTTACAGGAGCTATTAAAGTACAATATTAAAGAAGGTGTTTAGAGTATTTCCTGTTTTTTTACAACCAGTATCCCAATGGGATTAGGTTTAGACCCTGCATGTAAATACATGTTCTCTTTAAATAACTGCACCGCTTGCCTCAACACGTTCTGGTCACTAAGATACCTTCTATACAATAGAGGCATTTGTTGAGTCATTGTCATGTTAGCAACTGTTACAAGTGAACCGATCTAAGCATACAGAAAAAGTCATTAAGAAAAGATGAACTTCTGCTTTCATAATGTGCTTTTGTACATGTTACTTTATCGAAAATGTAGCATGTTATCACGCTAGTTTGAAATGATTTGTTAAAGTGTGAATAGATTTGAATCCTAGTTACATAAAGTACAGTAGAGAGAGAGCTACATGCGTTGAGACTAAAAATACAGCTCTAATACTCAACAGTAACTGAGCCCACTACAGTATTAAAATACAGTTGGCTTGTCCACTTCAATCCTTCAAAAGCCATTCATACTGAGCAGGTCATTTATAAGTGCGATGATAAATTAGCCTTGGAGCACATGTCAGGGGATAGAGTGTATGCAGGGTGTGTGAGGTATTCTTAGCTCTGATGACAGTGCAGGCCGCCAAATCCATTCACATCTCTAAATGGCGTCCTGGCCCAAGACAAGGCCACTTGTTCCTGCCAAGGTATTAGCTTCTGCTTTACTCTGCTTATTCCTATCAAGTATGCTCCATCTTACTACAAACTGTAAGTGATATTGAACACTTTGCAAATAGCCGTCCTGAATCATTCAAATTCAAGCATAAGAACTCTGCTTTATGGACAGAAAAAGGAGAGTTGGGATTGAAAAACGCCCACATGCAGATAAAAGAACAAACTTACAGTGGGTCAAGAGGTATCATGGCAAAAATGCTGAAAGTTCAAATGATAGTACCCGAAATTATATATATATTTTTTGTAAAAACAACTTTAGGAGAGCTACATGCACAAGAGTGTGATGATGCCTGGGGCAGCTGTTGTTTGTCCTTAATACACGCTGTTAAAAGATTTAGGAATGATCTGCCTCTCTTTGAACATGACAGGCATCATCATCAATTTAAGCAGAGAACGTCCTACTTCAGGGAACATTATGAAAGAAGTTTAATATGTGAAAGCAAGAATATGTTCAAGAGTAAGAGTAATTACACAAAATCTGTCATCAAAGGCCTGAGTCTCAGAAATGGCTCTTTCAAGGGATTCAGGGGCACGGAGCCTCATGGGTGACATGTTGTTTGATGTTTATCTAGTCAACAACAAGCTGCTATCTGTCCACCGCTGGTATGGGTCCACTTCAACCGTTCAGGATTCTTCTCCCTCAGGAGCTGTTTGTTAGCAGTTGTCGTCCTCCAGGATGTTAGAGTGCTCCTCCCAGAACTGCTCCCCTATAACGTCGCAGTGATGGGCCTGCACCCGCCTCCTGCTGCGGGTCACCGCCACCTCCTTCTCCTCTGCGTTCGGCAGCTTCATGTGTTTGGTGACCGTTTCATCTCGCTGGACACAAAAAATGAAGAGTATAAGAGCAGTGCAATTTAAAGGGAACTTAAAGGAATAGTTTAACATTTTGGGAAGCACCAATATAATGTCTGTCTAAAGACTCGGCCGGATTCCAGACATCAGGAAGTCAGTGCACTCTGCCAAGAAGTACCCCAGCATTTAAACCCCTACTGAACCACGTTTTTGTATTTGATAAAATACCAAGACTTATAAGTATACTTTAGAGCAGGGGTGCCAAACCTTTTTTGAAACGAGAGCTACTTTTAAAGTTGCCAGTCTGCCGAGATCTACCAGTCCAAATAGAGAGGCGTAGCCATAACTGACAGCCTACTACCGGGTAAATACACACTTCTACTTGTATAAAACTGACCTTTGTACGATTAATACTTCATATAATACTGCAGATCCTTTATCTTACCTCTTTCTAATCTACACACATACAAGTATTTAACTGAAGTTACACAACAGTGTTGTTCACACAGAGTTGGAGTTTATTCCCACGTCTCATACTACAGTGGGTAATGTTTTCAAGAAACATTGAACAGTGCTGCCACATATGACACAGGAGAAAAAGAAAAGACTCTGAACCCTTTCTTTGCCATTATATAAAAATAGTGTTGCTACAAAAGTATAAATTAGGCTTAATAAGCTAATAAGACAACTCAGATCTGAAGCTACACAGGAATCTGCTGCCAAAGTGCAATAAAAAAGACAAAATGAATAGAATCAAACCCTTCTTTTAGTTGCATTTTAGTAGAGTATAAAAAGAAATAGCCTTTAAAATAGGATGCAAGCAACACTATTTCCTTAACCT